ATGCTTTGCGGTCAAACCGAGATTTGAATGGAAAAGACATCGATCAATCAATTCACAGTCGAATCGGAAACAATCACTTTGTTGAACTTTGGACGGTATCACATCAGAAAAGCAAATAGGTGTAATCGGTAAAAAATCCCTATCAAAGTAAGCCAAACATTCTCATTCAGGATTCGACGGAAAATCAATATTATTTTTTCAAAAAAAAAAAAAAAAATTAAATATGAACGCAATATGCTTGTTTGCGGTTGAAAATGCCAAAAATCGACAAAAAAATCATGAAATGGAATTTTTTTCCTCATGATAACCATCTGAAAATATGCCAATAATGGTATTTGTCGCGTAAAAAATCCAATTTCATTAAAGTTGAATTTTCCATCAATTTTGGGTATTAAAAAAAGTGCCTCGTATCATTTTTGATTAATCAAAAAAATGCGAGAAAAACCCCGCATAATAATCAGCAAAGCCTGTAGAAACGTAGATCCGCAGTGATAATAATGTGAGAAAAACGAAGCGTATAATGCAAAAAACATTTAATTTAATTAGCATTTGTGAATGAAGGCACCTTTTTCCGCTTCATCCATCGCATGCCGTTAAGTAAATGTTGATTCGAACACTGGATAATAATCTTCCGAAAATAAAGTAATACTATTCTATGTTTGACGTGAACTGTGTGGATTATGACAATGATTCCTTTTGTTTGGCAACGTTGATTCTTTTTAGTGTTTATCATTAGCTCAGCTGAACCGAAACTGCTACACCTGCTTTCAATTTATTCTTTATGTGGTAGATTAGTATGAAAGCCGTTGAACGTGTTAAGCGAAATTCATTTTATGTTTGTTTTCAGGTGAAGAATGACAGTATTACCGAGTTCACAACACAAATGATATCTCCTTCAATGAAATGGCATTAAATAATGGATGTGTACGTGTGTTCGTTTTTATCATTTTTGCAAAGAGTGAACATTGAACATCTTCAGAGTTGTAATCGTAAAATTCGTATATACACCCAAAATGGGTATCATTGGATTGCCAGACGTAAAACGCACACCAAATTGTCCTGAAAAATTCACATTTGCAAAGTGATTACAATAATTACACGCTTAGAGCCTTAAAGTTCTCTTTGTCTGTCGGCTAACGGAAATTTTTCGTAAATTAATCGGTTGGCATTTCCAGTCGGATGATATTGTGTATCTACCTTCTCCATAATTTTCGTAACACATCATCTCATTTGAACCTTTCACACAGAATAATCATTATCCATTTGAACTTGGAGCTCGGTTTTTAGTGTACGGCACCGATATATACAATGCCACCACAGATATGCGCGCGATGAGCACATTCATTTACTAATTGTTACTCGGGATGAGCCTGTTATCTCTGTTTACCAAACCCAAACGTAAAGCGTCAATGTGTCGATTTAAACATGGTTTCACTCTTTTGTGCACAAAAAAGGAATTTTTTCTGCTGTCATTTGTCGCCTTCCACTAGGTGAATTTACCATTAGAGGTTTTCAAAGGGAATGACATAAAACGTTATCGGCATCATTTTTGAAATGGAGCAACAGAGAAAAGGACTCAGATACGTCGATATTTAGACACACACGCATATATATGCATGCAATTAAAATTTGTGTGTTGGGTTTGTAATGAAAGTGCCTAAGGGTCACAAGATGGAAAATTATCATATACGATCCCGTCTTGAGAATTCATGGTTCTAAGGGACACTTGTACCAGATTTTAATTTATAGTGCGTGTACGCCTGGTTTTCTGAAAATTGCCATTAGTTTTTCGCAATTTGTTGGCTCTATCACTGGTTTATCGAAAACGTTGCGAACATTTTGAAACTCGAAACCGTCATTCGAATTGTTAATTTCATTAACAAAATTGATTTTATGCTTCACTACTGGAAAATTACTATTGCCATTGAATCGATAGAGTGTTCTCTCGTGTCCATATTGTGGATATTTATCGTTGCTGTCGCAGCCCTTATCATCGTCAAAATGAATGAATTTATCGATACATGCCAAACTGTCATACATTTAGTGTGTGTGTGAATGCATATTGCGCCGTATCGGTTCTGTTTTTTTTTTGTCAATATGTTTTGAGTAAATTCAATTTGGTCACGCTTTGAAAGCAAAGTCTGTTTGTAGCATTATAGATTTAATGGCATTGAACATATGAGACCCATTTGTATTCGGAAAAATATCAAAGTGCATAAACAAAATGGGCGTTTTGTCTCTTTCTTTTTCTCTCTCTATCTTTGTGGGTCTGCGTTTTGACTTCCATTTCAATAAATTGAACGTTTAACACTCATACAGACAAAAAAACACAGGGGTTTTCTACCGATAGCTATATAATAATTTGACATTGCACTTTACTTTTGCCTGCACCAAATGCGCACTCAAGCCAACACACGAGCCCATAATCACACTCGGTTGACTTTTAATTCACGTTTGAATGTGGATTTTGAATGTATACATTAAGAGAGAAAGAGGCAGAGAGAGAGAGATAGAAAGTGTGTGTCAACCAACTATCCTTTGCATTTTTGTGCCGAATAAAAATGAAAACCTGCATCACATACAAAACTAAAGAGTTTCATTTCGATTGCAAACGTTCGGATATATTATTCTTATTTTCACATTAATGGCACGTGCAGTGTACGCGTACGCCACAGTATACAATTTAATGGGATATTCCTTTTTTCTTCATCATTTAATGACATTAGAATAGAAGTCGTGCTGAGCATAAACGTCGGAACGTCAAAACGGAATTCCTGTAACTTGTTTCACTTCAATTTAATTAGAATTTGAGGAGGAAAAATTATGATAATCAACAGAGAAAGTAGTTCTCTTAAACATCGGGCACGTCATATTCATTTCGAAATTTTGAACAATTCTTTTATACAATGCATCCAATAATTCCAAATAGAGTAGCATCATTACAATGTTGCAATATCCTGTCAGTTTCCATTTCCATAGTTTCAGATTTGTTTGCAGTGTAACGTGAAACAAAAAAATAATAATATTTGACACGACATGTTCGGATGCAGACTTCCTGATTGAAACACTTTATGGCATATGCTCAAACTTACGCCCACACTCCGGTTTTCTCTTTCTTTCTTTCTGTCTCCTTCCCAAATGCCAAATGAATATTATCCAACATCGGAAATCTAATTAATATCGAGAGCGAAGGAGAAAAGCACTCTTCATTACGGCGAACTTTTATAACATGTGAAAAATAGATTTTGACACAACCAGATACGAAACGTATACGCAATATAATTATTGTTCGGTGAAAGACAAAAGAGAGAAATATAAACGTGCCTGCAGAAAATGTGAATACATCGCGGAACGCGTACATCCTACAGATAACAAAACATAAAAATGAAAGTCTCTTTTTTATTATTTCAAAGTAATTTTCATATTAAACAGACGTTGCATCAAATTAAATACAACACCAAAACAATATAATGGATTTCTCTCTCTGTCTGTCCCAATCCATATTCTGCCGAGTTGCCGTTTCATTTTTAGAGGGTGCGATACGACATTCTCCACAACAAATTTTACGAGTTTCATATAATAAAAAAAAGTGATAAAAAAGATGAAACTACTTGTCGTCTTGGATTTTTATGACGAAAATCTGAATCAAAATCAACACCCAAACACGTCCCAAACAATAGACATGACAAATAGCACACCATCAACCTCGAAATTGGCCAACCGAAAGTTTCGCCAGTACATATATAACCAAATTCATCACTAAAATTCACATCGTGCAACCTGCTTTCCATGTGACCGTTTGAAACTCAAGTTGCATGGCCAATTTTACATAGTTTATTTTTTGTTTTATTATTGTCTACGAAGAGAATTTTAATATTTTTCTTTGTTAAAAAAATGAAAAATTTGAATGCACAGAATAAACATAAAAAAGAAAGCAATGTTCCTTTTTGGAATAATGGAAAGTTATGCAAAAAGCGCTTGCAAAAAATGCATGTTTTACGACAAAACATGGCTAATAATCTGACTGTGATTATACGATGAATTTAAATGTAAGAATTAGCTGCAGGTTGACGAAGTTTTTTTGCATTTTTCTTTACTTTAAATTTATTTGGATCGCGTCAATTATTTTTCGGAAGAAATGAGACAGTCTGCAATCGTTAAATAATGAATAGTGAACAACAATATGGTTGGCCTATCGACACTCTGGCTATCGCGAGAATAAGCAAAGGTTATTTTCATTATTTTGATCGCAAAAAGTGAACGACACATTAAAATGTATGCAATTGTTTGCATTCCAGCAGCAGCAACAACTCGCCCTTTTATTTATTTGCTCTTAAAACGATATATATTCATGTTGGTTTTGTTTTTTACACGCGTTACTGACGCTCTAGCGCGCCCTCTCTTTCTCTGTGACGCATATCCATAAAATTCGTTGCAGTTAAACCGCTCGCAAGCGGGTGTAGTTGTGTGTATGCAAACACACATACACACACACCGTCATTATTGGTTATTTTCGAATATATTAAAGTTAAGGAAATAGTGAAGGGTAGCCGAAAAACAGGAGCTACCCTGAACGCAACGCAATATTTTAATTAGATTTGACTGTTGTGTGTACGGCACGACTGAATTTCGCATTTGTTTATTTATATTTTCATTTCGTCGTATGGAATCGCTTCTTCACAAACTATTAAATTTTTGTTTTTATTATTATTGCTCTTTGTCCCCTTGCTTTTTCACGCTCACTCACTCATTCAGCATTCTATTCGTGTTTTACTCGAATACAATACTCGGTTAAAATAACAAATAACATAAAAAGCGTATGAAACCATAAATTATCGTCTCTTTGTGTTTGTTTTTTTCGGTTTATATGTCCTGTTTGTATTTCTAACTAGAAAATATGCTCATTTCATGTTTGACATATCAGTTGAAAAGTGAAATTAGAAGAGCACACACATTGTTGTGTGATAATTTGTTAAAAAAAGAATTGGTTAATAACTTACATCAATGTATTGTTTAAATGTTTCCCATTCGGTGTAAGCAAATGCTGTTGTATGATCTGTAGGTGTGGCCGGGCTGAGAAATCCGCTGTCAGCATCACTATGCTGTGAAGCTGGCCGCCTTGAAAACTTATATTGACTCACACGATTTGATGCGGCCGTATTTTTATTGGCCGGTACGACGGGATTTTTAATTTCAACTTCGACCACCGGTAATGGTAAATTGTCTTCAAGTAAATCTTTTAGGCTAATCTGTGGCGTTGATACACTGTGTTTCATTGTAATACTGTTTCGTTTTTTCGTCGTCACTTTCATGGCACTTTGGTTTGTTGTGCGTAACGGAAGATCGTTTGGTGGGCTTAATTTTGTGCGAAGTTTCGAGGGTACCTTGGCATTTTGATGTTTCAATGTGGATGAGTCATTTTTTACGGTGGGCGATTTTGACGCCGATGATGATATCATTTTCTTTGCAGCAAATGTTGAAATCACCGGCTGTGACGACTGACGCACGATTTTTTCGATTTGTGGTGATTTTTTAAGCGGAACATTTGTTTCAACTTTTTCACCGATGTTTGTTTGTTGATTTTCATAAATACTCGTTTTATTCGCATTCGTATCGCTGTAGATGTCTTCGGTTTCTGATTCAACAATCGGATGCAAATGATTTGCATTTCCAAAAATCGACTCAATTTTATTCTCTCCAATATAATCGGGATCGATGGTAAAATAATTTGGATACGAAATTGAACTGTCATCATCGACGTCTTCGTCCTCTTCTTTAACATCTTCGAGTGTATCGTAGACAAAATCATGGTCTTCATAAATCGTCTCTTTAATAAGCTCCTCTTCATTGTTCCGCTTGTCGAGTATCTTTATTGGAAACGGCATACAATCACCGCTCACCAAACCGTATTTCTTTTTCAGTTCTTTTTCGTTGACAAAATCTTTGCTCGGATCAAACAAACAATAGTTTTCTAAATGCGGTACACCACCTTTTCTCGGTCGAACTGGGATATTTTGCAAATGACTCGATGAAAATTCGGGCTTGGTAAGCATGTCACATGGTGATGTTAGGTTCATTATGTTGGCCGGATCCATTTTTGTGCGTTGACTTGTTTCAATAACGTTTATATAGGTGTTTTTATCGTTTTCGTTTCGATTACAAGTGCTATCGGTTGTGCTGCTGCTGTTGCTGCCACTGCTGCTGGCAGAGCTAAAACTTTGACCAATCGGTTCTAGTAATAAAATCTCTGTTTCGATAACCGATTTATCATGCGATGAATCTTTATTGTCTTTGCATTGAGTTTGCACTGGAAATGGTCGATGTTGTTGTCGTTGCTGCGATAAAAGTGCGGTACGATTGTTTGGGTTTCGTGATTTAGTTAGGTTTGTTGGCCTTTCCACACAGTGACTGTTGACTTTTGTGTCCGTCTGATTTGCAATTCGAATGTGAACGCTTGAATTGACAACCGTTGGTGATGAGCTCACGTCGGTCGGTGATTGTACATATGGCACAGCATAATTTCCATGTTCATCATCAATGATATCAACCTGAGCACTTGGTGTATCGCTTTCAGCTTTTTTATTTTTAAATAATTTTTGCAATTCGGACAACGAAAGATGATGGTGATGGTGTTGACGACGTATTGTTTGTTTGTTAAATGCGGCTATGTTACGTGGCAAAGACTGTTGTGGTGATGGTGGATCTATGTACGGTGGTGGTTTGAGTGATTTTCTTTCGTTCGGTCTGTTTGAATTGGCTAATATGAAATTATCGTGTATTTCGTTCGAAGAATTTGCGACGGTTTTTGTTATTTTTGTCTGCAATGGAAAATTGTCGGTTTTTATTTTATTGGCTGCAGGCAATTGCTTAAAATAAAATCGTTTTGAAGTCGAAACGTTATCGTTGACTACTGTTGTTCCAACATTTTCAACATTTTTGTTGTTCACTTCATTCAATTTGTGTTTGTTGTCAGTTATGGCATTTTTTCGCCGAACATTTTGTAAATTGGTTGCGATGGTGATGTTGTTTGCCTGTTTCTGGTTCGTTGATGTGGAACTTTGATGATGATGATGTTGTTGCGGTGTCTCGTATTCGTCAGTCGCTTCAATTGTATCAATCGCTTTGCTATAATTGCTCTCAATGGTTGGTACTTTTACCGGTGATACATCTAACTCATTAAATGCTTCATTATTATGTGTTGCTGTTGTTGCTGTTGTCGTCGTAGTTTTTGATGATGTTTTTTTGCTTGATGCAAGATGTTTTGCTACTTCGATTTGATCTTTTGTAATGGTAGTTGTTTTACGACGGAATAGTAAACGTTTCGTTCGACTCACATTTTTCGATGTGGTGGTCGATGCAGCTGTTACCAGTTTTGTTGATAATTCTTTGCTACTGTTCAGTAATTGATTGGGCAGTTTTGTTACTTTTCGTTGTATAACATCACGCAATGGTACGTTGTTGATTGTCGTTTCGACATTTATTCTTTTTACGGATAACTCAATTTTATCGACTGTTTCAATGTTACCATCATCACGTTCATTGTTACCAATGCCAATATTATTATCATCGACATCCACTTCGAAATGGCTAATGTGAATATTTCGATGGCAATTTCCGACTCTAACAACAACTTCCTGCGTTCCAATTAGATTATTTACGAGTTCATCGGCATTATTCGATTTGACCGGGCCACTGCTGTGATGATGATCATTTTGTGTCTTATCTTTTTCACAATGACTTACATCATTATGAAGCTTATTGGTGAAATTGTTTTTATCATTGATGTTTTTTCCATTTTCAATGTTTGTTTTTCCAATGAATTTCTTATCGCATTCAATCGATGCCGGTGCTTCTCCAATTGGATCCAATGGCTTGTTTTTGGTGCTGGTGCTGGCCGACGATGCTTGAGAATCGCAATCAAATCGACGATTTCCCTTGAGACGATTTTCACTTGTCAACGATTTTATAGTCAACGAAGGGCTAAACACCCTCTTCGGTATCATCTGGATGAAAAACTAAGCGCATTGACAAAGACTGCATGCATTTGCCTGCCCTGTCACTACACACATTCAATTTTTTCAAGTTTTTTTCTCTTTCGCCTCTTCAATGCTGCTCTGTGCGTCTAATTCGAATAATGTTCGAAAATCGTTGATTTTCTTGGCTTCTTGCCTTTTTTGTCACGTTTATCGTTGATTCTAACAACAAAAAAAACTTCTCTTATCTCATTTTCAGTTTTGTCGGTTCAAGTTCGAATTAAAGTCAAGATGAATTTCACTCATGTATGTATCCTTGGTGCCCTTTGAACACAAACTGATGAAGTCGAACGAGTTTTTTCGTGTCGGTTTTCGCATACGGTTCCCAAAAACTGTAAGAAGGATTACATTTCATTCGACGAATAATAATATGTGCAGAATGATAAGCTCTCTACCAAAACATACACATATGTATATACTATTATTACACAAGAGTAGATTAATGTTTAATATTCTAATCGGATTATTATGTTAAACACCGGTAAATTGTGTGCTGCCTGCATAAATATCCGTCTCTAGTGCGGTTTTTTCACACTGAATTTTCCAACTTGAAAATTTGCACCGTGATTTACGTTTAATTGTGGGATTTTTCCGTTTTTCCCCGTTCAAGACACTTACACCATCCGATTCTATTGTTCACTATCCACTTTATTGTTTTATCAGTAACTTTAAACGTCTTTCACGCGAATCAATTTCCGCTTCGTTTAATTGTCTTACACATTATATTGTAATTTATGTAATTGTTGTTGGGGCGCACTGTTCAAGCCTGAAATCCAAAAACCTGCTTTGTGAAATGTCAAGGCATAAATTTCAATTAACAAACTTCGTTTATCGTACTCTCATTGTGCACTGTCTAACAATCTGGTGTGCACGCATTTATGCAGAAAGTGTATAAATCTCATTATTTTCGTATTATTTTATTACATCAGCGAACCTTAGACTGATTGAAGATCGTAGTTTCTTCGGCGTAGTCTTTTTTTTCAGTCACTCAATTATGCCGTTGATCTTTCGTCAGTTTACTATACACACTGCAGAAAAGGTACAACACGGGATATTGATTTTTAATTTTTGGACGGATTTTAAACGAAAATTAAATGTTGTCGGCGCGAAAAGAAGTGCGATTATATGCGATGAACATTTTCACTTGAAACTCTATGCGAAGGATGATGATGGAATTTTAAAATGATTAAATTTTAAGAATTATTTTTTTTCATTCGTTCTTCTTTCGTCTCTCTCTCTCTCTCTCTCTCTCTCTCTCTCTCTCTCTCTTTCTGTCTTCCTTTTCCACACCAAAAATTAGTGCGAAACTGTGGTGAGCACAGCCAACGAAATAAATGTGATCCGAAGCGAAGGAAAGAATTTAAATAAACAACCAAGTATTTATTACAAAAACGAAGTAAATAAACAAGACTAAATAGTTTTATGCAGAGAAGCGGCAGAGTAGTGCAAAAATTGGTGGCAATGAGCTGCATACTACCAAAGTGAACGAAGGCTGTTAAAGCAACACTGTTGCATAGTTTGTCTACAGAAAGAATTGTTTTCATTCTATTGTTTTTGTGTTGCAATTGCTGTTGGTAATTTTTTTCATCTCTTCGTTGCTGAATTCTGGCGCAACTTCGAGAAACTTAAGAAACACGACAAAAAAAACCCGGAAAGACGTTAAAAGTGGCGAAAATAGTAGAAGGTGCATTGTTTTTGTTGTAAAAGCGCCTTCTTCATCTCTCAAGATTTTTCTGCCAGACTTTTTTGCTCTCTCTCTCTCGTCAGGATCCAAAGAACTATTACCGTGAATTATACGTACACAAAAAGCACCGACTGAATGTGAAAACTTCGAATAAGAAAAAAAAGAAGCTAAAGCACGCACATGCCACCGACGATTTTCTTCGTTTTCTCCATTTTGCTGCAAAGCAATCGTGATAAGTTTTTAATAGCATACAAAATCCGATGAAAACAATTATAGACATGCCTTGCCTTCGGTGTGCACAATATATACTCACAGCACGTACGATCGTACGCAATGGTTCAAAGCAGAGGAATAACACAACATACATCGTGCATGTACTTGTACAACAAAACTGTGATGCGTTATTTTGTTAGTTAAGGTTCAGGCAATAAGAAACATTCCCATATCGATTTCCATGTCGTTCAAATGTGATATGGAGACGACGAACATACACGATATATAAACTTATGGGAAAATGGTTGCAATCGTCTTACAGGAGGAGGAAAATCTTGGGCAAAAGTCTTAAGTGTTCTTCGTTTCGTTCAAATGCTATTCTTACTTAAATGCGAAACGAATCGTTTTCATTGTGATGACGTGATGCGTGCATCCATACAAACGGTTAAGTAATAATGATAACAATATCGCTTTGTTGCTCTTTCTCCCTCTCGCTCTCGCTCTCTCTCTCCACCTATCTGCCTCTCAATATCAGTACCCAGCTCACATACGACCGAGAAATGTATGGAACGAGTGAGAGTGCAAAATTGAAAATTGATCAATTTCATTTAAGAATACGTGATACGTGTACGCTGAACAATACAATAAAATGCAAAGAGATTCGCATTGACACAAAAGTATAAATAAAATTCACTTTGGTTAAAAAAAAAATGTTGATAAATAGTCTTCAATGGCAATATACTCAGTTTGAGAACAAGCAATATATATTGTATAATCATATTGTTTTCGGATGCGAACGATATGAATACATGTCGATTGCTTTGTGTTGGCATCAACAAAAATGAAATTGAAATATTGAATTTGAAAGTTTTTAAACCCGGCAAAAAATAAGAATGAATAAACCGAAAGGAAAACCGACTTGCTTGGTGAAAAGATGTACCAAAACATCCGGTGCAGCTTGAATTCAATATCTCTTATTTTATCTCTCCGAATGCATCTGGTTTGAACATTCAAACCCGATTCCAATGAGAATTCCAACAAAACCATCCACCCACAAAAACACATTATAAAATTATAAACCCATATATGCCATACCATTTTCTCATTTAAACTCTCTCTCTCTCTCTCTGTTTATCATAATAAATGCTGATTTAAGTTCTATTCCCTCATTGCAACAAAGAATCCGCATAGAATTCATTTAAATGATATATGAAAATCATGTTGAATGTGAGTGGGTGTGTTTGTGCTGTGCAGCAGACGGTCAGCATAAGTGAACAGTGAAAATGAATTTTGCTTAAAAGGTGCATCTCGATTTGCATTTAAATTTGAAATGAATGACATGACAAAAATGCCAGCAGAAACTAAAAACTGCTTTCGTTTCCTTCATGGCTCCACGTAGTTCTATGCAGTGAATGTCCTGAATTCAAAATTAAAGCTTTAATATTTGCCAAGAGATTTTAAGTTATAATCGAAATCGGATTAAAATCATCGATTTTGATATGGTACATCAAAAGTGCATCTATGCGGAATATGCAATCTAAATGTCTTATTTGCACAGAAATTTGTTCGTTTTTTCTAAAAAAGAAATCTATTTCCAAGAATAAATCAACTCAAAAACTCTTCGATGATAATTTTCTTCTTCTTCCCGCATAGTGTTAATCTCGTTCAAAAACTATTTCAGAAAGCTAATTTGTATGATGACGTAAGTAGTAATCAGGAGAACGGTTAAAATGAACTTGCGACTTTGACACGAAGTTTTTTTTTCTATGGAGCAGTGCAAGTTTTTTTCAGGAGCACAAAGTTGATTACGGCATGAAGAGTATCGAAAAGTTTAAGATTTGAGTTTGGAGTGTAAACTCGATGGTAGATTTTCTGACTATAAAATGCGATGACTACAAAATGTCAAATGCAAACAACAAAAATGATGCAAATTGCTACAAAGTTCGGAAAATGCTCTTGTGACCTATGCAAACGCTAGTTACATTTCAACAAATATTTACTCTTGTTATAAATAAATTCGATGCATTTATTTGAAAATTGAAAGTGCAAAGCCATTCCGGAAGTATACTGTGATGCGTAACAATTGAGTGTTTGTGTGACTTGCAGTGAAATGGTCGAGTTATTTGCAATATCAAAGGCCATTGGATATTGTGAATGAAAAAAGCAAACAAAAACTACCAATGACAATAGAAATCCGTTATAAGCCAACCCGAAAAAAAATTCGAGGATAAAAAAAATGGCAAACATGAGCGCAAATAGAAAATGAATTCAATTTTAAAATAAATTTATGAATATTATTAATTTGGAAATTGCCCGAAAAATGCAATGTCTATTCTCGCAACGAACACAATGCTTTGCATTTCAAAAGAAGGGAAATGAGCACAGCCAGTAGCATGCTGATTTCCATTGTTTTATTCTCGAATTGTGTATCAAATGGAGAAGAAGAAAGCAAGAGATGTGGTGCATCTTTACTGTTTTGCTCTTAAGCGTCATGCCCAGCTCAAGCTGGCACAAAAACAAACAATGTTCTATTGGCATCGTATTTTACATCTGCACACAACACATAAACGCTATATGTTGAATAAATAGAGACGAATACGAATTGAATAGCTATTTACAAAGCAATTGTTATGCGTTGCGTTTCGCCAACGATTTTTGAAATGGCTCTGTGAATTCTTTGGTGGAAATTGAGTTCCTTTGGAAAAATGCTTTAGCTATTTAACCTTTCATTTTCAGTTTTTCAATCAGCTTCACTTGAATTGGTTTGAATATGTTTTCAGCGCGCGCGCTGCAGAATGTGCTTATGTGTAAAATCCGATGCAGAATGTGCTTATGTGGGCAAGGCATGAGTTTTAAAAGCTCAAAAGAATATCGGGATATCAAAGGAAGCATATATACATGAACAATATTGCTACCGCATACTGTCCGACAAAAAAAAAGGAACGAGTTGTCGTGACATAGAGTTTTGACGTTGTCTGCCAGCACCACCAATGCAACAGTCATTTTCGCTTCACTGTCTGAAACAATAAACAATTCATTTTTATTGCTCACATTCCGTTCGTTCACTTGACCTAGACCGAATTGCACTTTCGCTCCATGTTGAATATTTTCCGCATAATTGCATGTAATATCTTGGAACTTTTTCATAACTGATCTACAGGGCAAAATATGATTGAAATGCAGACGTGAAAATATTTCTTTCCGTGGAACAGATTGCATGCAATACGATATTTTAATATTTCAATCAGTGGCTGTAGGATGTTGGTTTTTTTCTGCTTCAATTTTTTTACGATTCAAAACGATTTTCTGCGAATGAGAACAAAACTAAGAGGTAATAATAAAAATAAAATTAAATGTTCTCTATGGCGCTCGATTGTGAGTACCTTTTTGATTTTGACAACTGAACGAGAAAAAAGTGAGAGAAACTAGGAACTGTGTGCACACCCTTTTGAAAATCTGACATAGAAATGTTTTTTTAACATGCCAGGAAATCGAAATAATTCCATCTGTATCTTATTATGCAAGAGATGTTCTTTTGCTATAGCTCGTAAGCTCCTAATTATTTGCATGGATTTTTTCCTTCGACATTACAATTCCATTGCTGAAACCAAAACAAAAAATAGATTCATTTTAAACCAGAGTATTGCTCAGCGCTGCTGCCATCCACAGCATATTAAAATATCTTGCTGAGAATGCGTCGTCCGTCGCATGCGAACGTACGTAGCAGTTTATACATCACAGCGAACAAGAATGAATCCATTGTTCTCTTCACGATTATGTGACTCAAAACATTCAAACGATTGGATAGAGAACAATGCATGTATTGTTGTTCGCTGTGATGTATAAACTGCTACGTACCTTCGCATGCGACGGACGACGCATTCTCAGCAAGATATTTTAATATGCTCTGGATGGCAGCAGCGCTGCGCAAAACTCTGCTTTAAACTGAGAGTAATGAACAG